ATTTTTTTCTATTTAATAATATTTATTTCAAACTTGCAAGTTGAGTTAAAAGTTATGGTAATAAATTCATTTTTTTTTTATTAAAACTTTCACTTTAAAGAACAAAAAGAAGTAGGTTCAAAATGATTACTTTTAACATATTAAAAATCAATAATAATTTGAAAATAATTAATTATAAAAATTATATAATATATAATTAAAATAATTACTAATCTGGATATAATTAAGGAAATAGGAGTTGATGTTGGGTTGGGTTGGTTACATTTTTAACTTTATAATGCTATAACTCATTGAAAAGTGTACGAATCAACACAATTTTTTTATGAGAAATAATATTTTTTAATAATCCCTTTTTCATTCGACATACTTTATCTTAATCAGGGTATTAATAAGAAACTAGCAGATAATGTAGCTTTTGTAATTATCCACCAATTTCTTAGAATTAAACACTATCTACTGATTTGCATCGAAGCGTTTCTTATGATAGTGATTTTAATCACTGTCAGATTAAATCTATACTGGACCCAACTATGCAACATCCCCACTATGCCGCGACCCCACTGTGCTGGGTTTTTAATATTATCTATATATGGCACATAAAGTGATATTAATTTTTCTCTATCATGCATAGTATTTAATATTTAATAGTGTATAGTATGGGTTCACAAAACTCTTAAAATGTACCTAAACTTTTTTTATTTATTTTGCCAATCAAAACTTTAATTATATGTATAAATTTGTGTTTAATTAAAAATAATAGGAGACGAAGGACAAAAACCAGTACCAATTACAAAAGTTGAAGAAATTGTTGGAAAACAAGTGACATTTTATAATGTTGATTTATTAGATTATAACTCAGTTGCACAAATCTTCGATAAGGTATGCTATTATTATATTTTATACAAGGCTTAAATAGATAATTTAATAATAAAATCTATGAAAAAATGCTAAAGTGAAAAGAATGTAAGGGGACTCAGTTCCTCTTCCTCTAAAAGANTGAAAAGAATGTAAGGGGACTTAGTTCCTCTTCCTCTAAAAGAGCTTTAAAAATGTCCTATTCAAGAAAAAGGTCAATTGGACATTAATTTTATTTTCAGTGTCTTTCAAAATTATTATATAATGATTTAAAAAAAAAAGGAATTACCCTTTTATTAACACTCAAATTGGCATCTTTAAAAGAGTAGTGTCTTATTTCATCGACTTACACCCTCCTTCTGTAAGGCAATCCATAGCTACGTAGAACGGTCGATATAATAATGTAATTACAGTCCTTTTGAATACTTTTTTTTCACTTTAAACCCTAATTTCATTTCACTTAACATCATAAATAAATATTTTATTTCTTAATATAATATATTATATTAAAATTATATATTATATTGTAGTAAAACTAATTAAAAGTAAAAACTAATTTTATAATTTAATATACATATAAACCCCTATAGTTATTTTAATGTATTTTTATGCTAGTAAACTAGTTGCATAAATATAGGCCAATTTCTTTCCTTGTTGATTGTTGTTTAACTTTTTTTTAAAACTAAGCGATTTATAAAAAACACACATACTATTATTGGCTATTAGAGCGGTTCTTAAAAATGAAGTTATAAAATTCATTCAATAAACCCCCTAGAATTGTTCCATTAAGTAAACAAATAATTTGTAAACAATTTGGTTGAAATTGAGGAGTTACATTAACGCATGCAACAAGATGGATGAATATTCGATTGTAAAGGTAGATTTTCAATTTTATATTTTATCTTACAAATTATGCTATTTATAGAAAAAATATAATTTATAGAACTAAATGTTTGACGACAAAAATGTTATTATCAAAAAAGCTAATAAATGGAGATTAGTTATAAACATTTAAAAAAAATTTTTTTTCTAAACCGTTGAAATCGATTTTATTCGTTTATTTAAATATTGTGGATCAACTATTCAACACGCAGAAAATAGTTTCATAAAATAGTTGTTAAGTATTCAAACTTTTTGTTGTGCGTTTTATTTTTTTTACCAAATGTAGTTCATATATTCAAGTGTAATGTACAAAATTTTTTTTTACAAATATAGAATAATGTGTTATAATAAAATTTAAGTCTTCAATAAGGGCTATAATATCAAAAGATGGATCAAAACACACTTTTATGTACAAATTAATTAATTATTATAACTTTATTAAAATATTTAACTCAAAAATCGCGGACACGTTTTTCTGGAACAATGTTACCAATCGTAATAGAAATAGATTAGAAATGGGGACTTATCAATTTAATTTTAAACAGTTTAAGTCAATAACAGTGGGAAATCTTTGTACAGAAGATGTATCAAGCAATTGAGCATAAATTCGAAAAAAAAATAAAAGAAAAACTTTCAAAATTTACTTTCAGAACACAAAAATAAGGGCAAAGATATAATTTTAATAAAAGTCCGGAAGTTTCATTTTCTAAAAAATAGGGGTACGATTTATTTAAAAATTACACGTTGGTTTTTCTGTCGAAGATTTTGAAGTCATATCTTAAAACAAGTTTTTTACCAAAACAATTTTTGATGGTAGATCTCCTAGTAGACATTAAAATAAGGGTTAAATGTGTTGATTTTAATAATTAAAACTTAGTAGGAAGAGAGTCTTTAAATTTTTTAAGAAAAAATTCTGTTGTAAGTAAATGGGGTTTAGGAAAAAATTAAGAACATTCACAACTCATATAGGACTTAAAAAATAAAAATTATTTTAATAGAGTATTAAAAATGATTCAAGAGGGTCCCTATAAAGAAATTAAAAAGAATCCATTAAGTAAAATGATAAGGGAAGCTACTAAAGTTACCAATAATTCAAAATTAATAATTGAAGAATATTTCAGGTTTTTTATTAAATTTTAAACCCACAAATACCTAAAATATATGCTTTGTCAAAAATACAAAAGCTGAGAAACAATATGAAACCTATTGTGTCGAGTATTATAGACACAACTTATAATTTTGGTAAACACTTAATAAGGGTGTTTTCATCAATTCAAAAAATCAATATCTTTTAAGTTAAAAATAATATCCGTTAACACCATTTTTAGCATTTTATTTTTCATGACTAGTTACGAAAATAATTTAAAAGACACCTATAGTGATTTTCTAAAAAATTGGGTTAGGTATGGAGATGATATTTTTGCAGTAATGAACAAGTATTTTAATACGTAGGACTACATAAAAAATTTTAATTTTTTTTACCCATTGATTAAATTCACTTAGAAACAGAACGTGAGGGATAAATACTTTTTGGATTTATTAATTAAAATAAAACTAATTAAAAACGTAAATTATTACAAGGAACTTAATATAAAGGAGGCAATACAAATGTTTAAAAATAAGAAAAATTTAATTAATTGGGATCTTGTCCTCAGAAAATTCATTATTAAACTTGTGTAAAGTGGCAAAATGTGATAATAATACTATTGATAATGTCACTAGGTGATGAGGTCCACTAGAAGTATATAAGAAGTTTTTTTTTTACTATCTTAGTCAATATGTGTTTAGTGTTGATAATGGAACATTGTGTCCGAAATACGTAGCCGCGTAAATTTTTCCTGGCTTTTTGAGTTAAATATTTTTTAGTTTTAAATTAATAATATTTAACTCAAAAAGCCAGGAAAAATTAACGCGGCTACAATTATTGTATTTTAATTAAATTTATTTTTTATTTTTTAGCATGATATTTCTTGTGTTATTCATTTTGCTGGCTTAAAAGCTGTAGGCGAATCGTGCGTAATTCCATTAACATATTATCGAGTTAATGTATCTGGATCCATAAATTTATTTGAGGTATGTCAAATAATATATTATTTAAATTAGGATTTCCTATTTTATTTATTTAATTTTTTTTGCCTTATTATAAAGATATTAGGGTGATAATTTAAATCAAATAAAATTAATAGTTTAAGATTTCAATTACATACTGGGCTCTTGCCAGTAAAACAGTTGCTGGATCCAAAATATAAGGGACCGGATTACGTTTTTCAGATATTTTCGATTATTATTATTATTCTTCTTTTACTAGCCTTAATCTCAACTACTTGGGGTCGGCCATTCTTATTCTAAACTTCCACTTGACACGATCTCCCACATCCTAAACACTCACATCATCTGGCCTCATATTGCATTCAATAGCATCCCTCCATCTCTTTTTGGTCTTCCTCTATCTCTTCTTCCTTCAACATTCATTTCTATAACTGTTCTTACAGCTTCCAATTCTCCTCTCCTCATAACCAAAACCATCTGTCTATTTTCTCTCATCTTATCCACGATTGATGCTACACCTATACTCTCTCTTATATGCTCGTTCTTTATTCTATCTTTTCTAACTTCACTCATTCATCTAAGCATTCTCACCTCTGCTAGACTCATTCTCTGCTCTACTTTCTTATTAACCGTCTAACACTATGAACCATATATCATAGCTGGCCTCACTACAGTCTTGTAGAATTTACCTTTCAGCCTCATTGGAATTCTTTTATCGCATAAGACGCCAGACGCTTCTTTCCACTTCAACCACCCGCACTTAATTCTGTGTTTTACATCCTCGTCAATACCACTTTTTTGCACAACTGACCTTAAATATTTAAAACTCTCCACCTATCCAATCACGTCCTTGCCTATTGTCACTGACCTCATTTCACCTACTTCGTGTTTTCCTTTGTCAAACTCGTACTCTATATACTCTGTCTTACTTCTGCTTATTCTTAAACTCTTTTCTTTAAGAGCTGAAGAAAATTCTTCCACGCCTCTAGCCTTTAATTAATTTCCTCTCTATTTTCTCCTATTAACACTATATCGTCAGCAAACAACATGCACCACGGTACCTCTCCTTGTGTTTCTCTAGTAATTTCATCCATCACTAAAGAAAATAAATAAAGGCTTAAAGCAGAACCATGATGTACTCCTACTCTTACCCGAAAACCTTCTGTTACTCGTCCCATACTTTTTACCCTAGTACAAGTGCCATCATACATATCCTCTATTATATTAATGTATCTTTTCGGGACCTCTTTTCTCATTAATGCCCACTTTAGAACCTCTCTCGGTACTCTATCATACGCTTTCTCCAAATCTATAAATACCATACAAAGTTTTTTCTTTTTTTCCCTAAACTTTCCTTTAGTTGCATCACACAAAATAATGGCTCCATTGTTGACTATACAATAACAGTATCATATGCTGCAAAGAGGTCTATAAAGGCAGCTCCTGATTTTAATTTATCATTGAAACCTTTTTCTAAGTGTGATGTTAAAGATAGTACTTGGTTGCAGCAACCTCGGTTTGTTCGAAGCCTGCTTTGATACGATGGGATTGCTGGCTCGATGAGTGGGGATATTCTTTTCGGAATTATTTTCTCTATTAATTTTGAGAGTACGCTCAACAGTGATATAGGCCGGTAGCTGGTTAGGTTGTTGATGGATTTACCAGTTTTTAATTGTGCATTAGCAGTTTTCAACTTTTAGGGACTCTATTACTTTTGTAGATCGCGTAAAAAACTTCTACAATCCAAAGATGGGTTTTAGGGCCTAAGTTACGTAGAAATTCTGGATGAATTCCATCTTTCCCAGGCGCTTTGCCTGCTTTTAATTCTGTTATTGCGTTGCATAATTCCGTACTACTGATACATACTTGGGAGATATTATGTGGCTGATGAATTTTAGATATGTGGTGAAAATGGGATCTGATTATTTTTTTGTGTCGTTTATCGATTTTTATTTGTGAGTTTTCTACTAACACTATAGATACTAATTGGGCTTTGATTTTCGGTTGCTGGCCTATAAGTATTGTATATATTTACGCCCTCGATAGGTGTGCTAATAATTGAAATTGTTTATACTTTTATAGGAATGGTAATTAAGTAATCTAAAATGCCTTTCCGTATATAAATAGCAGTTCCATATTTTGCATGAGGATCTAGACATGCGATTTTAAACCCTTTAATATGTAATCTATCATATTGGGTGTCATCCGAAACGTGGGTTTCTTGGAGGCATAGTACATCCGCATTTTGCTCGTCGACGATTCTTTTCAAATATGTGCGCTTTGCTCTAGATAGGCTTTCTACATTGATTTGTATAATATTCAAATTTTTTAAGCTCGGTTCAAGATTGATTATAGAGATCTGAACGATCTCAATCATCGTCAGAGTAGCCATTAAAAGGGCTATTTGGGGGGGGAGGTCTCGTGTATGTTGTGTTGTTGTATGGGACGCGCGATAGAGAATCGATGGTCGTCCGTCGAGATTGTTAGCTATTGGTCACAGTCTCTAAGATAAGAGACTGTGTGCAAGGGTGGCCACAAGTAGGCTACCAACATGCATCCTCTTTACCAATAATTCAAAATTAATAATTGAAGAATATTTCAGGTTTTTCATTAAATTTTAAACCCACAAATACCTAAAATATTACTCTTTTCCATACTTCTCCTGGCACTTCATCTGGTCTTACTGCTTTATCCTTTTTCGTTGATGTCTCAGCCGTCCATACCTCTTTCTCACTAATTAAATCCACCAGTCCTTCGTTTCACGAGATATCCTCTAATGCCTCTTTTGGATACTATTCATTCAGTAACTTTTCAAAATATTCTTTCCACCTTTTATTCACATCATCATCACTCAATAGCACCTTACTATGAACACTTTTTATACACCTTACAATATAAGGTCCTCATTTTACGAATTTCGAAATTCTTTTTGAGACACCACTCTAAGGTCTTTTGGAAAAATTTAAATCGAAACTCACAGCATTTTAAAGTTTTGACCTCGGATTTTTGAAGAATATTTTATAAATCAATAAAAAAAAACCTATATTAGAGATTTTGAAGTGATTTTTTCAATAAAAATCAATATACTATAAAAAATCTTTATTATCTGATCATTTTTTCTTTAAATTTAATTATACAATTATTTATAGTATTTATTTTGTACAACGAATTACTTTTCTTTAAATCAGTTTTAGTTCTATAATATTTAAAACGGAAAAAAACGAATGCTTTAGCGATTTAAAAAGCCTTAGAACAATACACTTTTACTTGCTTTACGCTATCTGTAATTTATTACTCTCACTCTTATAGTTTTTAATTAAAATAATTGAGAGGTGTTTTGAAAGAAATTTCGAAATTCGTAAAATAAGAACCACCCTAACCTTGCATAGTGATAACCTATAGACCTTTTTTCTCTTATTTTTGTAAGTCTATGGACTTCTTTTTCGCCTTCCTTTGTTCCAAGCCATCATACAACTCGTTATACCTCTTAAACTTCGCCTTACTTACTGCACATTTGACTTCTTTGCATAAGCGTTAATACTCCAACCAGTCTTCTCTCCTGTTGCTCTTCTGTCATACTTTGAATTACTTTTTCTTACACTCTATAATTTTTTGAACCATATATCCTTGTTTCCTAGCATTCTACTCTCACTTCCTTTATAGTATTCTTTACAAAACTAGAAAATTACGTAGTTAGTAGATTTTCCATAATACGCAAATTGTAAATTTTGTAAATTCTATAAGTAGCGTTCAAATTATTTCTCCATCATCAAATTTTCACCAGACGTTTTAATTGCCAAAAGGTAATTACTATGTAAATTTGAAAAAAATTCGTTCAATCACTTTAGTGTAATGAGATGATAAAGTTGGCTAATTTGAGCAAGATATATGTGTCTTTCAAAAGTATATATTATAGCGTGAATAAACGCTACAAACGCTACAAAAGCGCTATTTTTTACTTATGTTTCTTAAAAAGTCTTTTTTATATAATGATATTGATGAAAATATAAGCTTGTTAACAGTACAAAAGTTTTGAAACCATTTATGGTATTTATTACCAGAAAATTCACTAGCAATGAAAACAATTAAATATTTTTTACAACCTCAAGATATTAAGATAATATTAAGATTATAGAAGACTTTATTTCTACTAAATCAAACAATTTATATTAAAGTCAGTATAAAATTTGAAAAGGTTATAATGAGGTATTGAAACGTTTAAAATAACAAAGTAAAATAAATAAACTATTTAATTATTTTTGTGTTATCTATATATTGTTATCACATGTAAAAAATGCAATATATTTTTAAAAATTATGTATCAAAATAGTCGTCTTTACATAAGGTTTTTTTTTTGTATATTGATTTTTATTTAAAAAATCACTTGAAAATCTGTAATAAAGGTTTTTTTTATATAATATTCGTTATATAATATATCGAACATATAAATTATATGTTATATAATATATTTTATATAATATATCGTTTTATATAATATTCTTCAAAAATTCGAGGTTTGTATTTGTAAGTCTATAGACTTCTTTTTCGCCTTCCTTTGTTCCTAGTCTATCATACAACTTATCATACCACTTAAACTTCGCCTTACTTACTGAACACTTTACTAATTGCACAAGCGTTTATACTCCAGCCAGTCTTCTCTCCTGTTGCTCTTCTGCCTTACTTTTAATTGCTTTTTCTTAAATTCTATGATTTTTTGAACGTCCTCATCCCACCATCAGATTTCCTTGTTTCCTGGCATTCTACTCTCACTACCTTTGTAGTATTCTTTACAAAACTAGAAAATCTATTTCACACATAATTTATTTATGTCTCCCTCACAATCCACACCGTCTTCTCTTATCGCCTATAAAAATTTTTTTCATTTTCCCCTTTCAAATTTCACTATTGGATCCTCGATTTTTTCTCCTGTGTTCTTTCTAGTTTTGTATATTCTCTTCCCACTACACCAAAACTCGATTACCTTCAGTCTATGTTGTGAAGTTACACTCTCGCCTGGTATAACTTTACAATATTTTACTCACTTAATGCTCTCTCCCATATAAAATAATCAATCTGTGATCTATACCTCCCACTCTTATAAGTTATATAATGTTCTTCTCTCTTTCTAAAATATATATTAACCACAGCAAGATTATGTAATACTGCGAAATATAAGATTTTTTCTGGATTTTACTGGAACCATACCCTCCATGTACTTTTTCATATCCTCTCCTCTCATTACCTATATATCCATTCATATCTCCACCTATAACCGCATCCTCATTGTCAGGTACTCCTTGCATCACCTCTCCAATCTCTCTCCAACACACTTGTCTATTTCATCAAATCCTTGTTGTGGTGCATAGTGATGGGCATATTCGAGTATTTTAAACTATTCGATAGTTTTTAAAACTATTCTATAGTTTATGCAAAAATTAAACTATTCGGTTGTATAAAAACAATTCGAATAGACTATCAAATAGTTTTTACAATTATTCGAATATATTGTGTAATTATCGAATATTTTTACTATTCGAATAGTTTTTGGATGATTATCGAATAGTTCGGTAGTTACTATTCCATATTTCCCATCACTATTGCATAGGCACTTATTACATTCAACACTTTTTCTTCGAAAATCAATTTTACGATTATAATTCTGTCATTTTTCCTAGCTACTTCTACTACCTTACTTTTCATCTCCTCATTTATTATTATCCATTTTTTGTATTAGACTTACCTAAGTATATTATTTTATAACCCTCACCTATTTTTCTTGCATGCTCTCCCTTTCACTTAGCTTCCTGACACAACAAATGTTAACCTCTTCAAATCTTCTACTAATTCTCTACTTCTACCAGTTATTGTTCCAACACTCTACGTACCTATTCTTACTTTGTATCTATTTTTCTCCTTTATACATGAGTCCAGACTAGAATTGAGTGATGATGTGCCTATACCGTTTACACTATAAGCGTTGGGTAAACCTGTACACATGGCTAGTGAAACAGCTACCGCACAAGTTGTCCGACTGGTATTAATACTTTATTCCTTAGGTCTTTTCCGTCTCTAACTATTTTATTTCCTCTCGCCTGTTGTCCCCGCGTATATCCGAGAAAATCTGCATAAGTTCTGTCAGGACTCTTCATTCTTTTTGACAACATTTTATACCAGTTTTTGATCTGACACAACTTCATTAGTCTTACGACTATCAGAAGGACCGTAAAGTATTCTTTTACCCTATCCACGAGGAAAATGATTGGTTATTATTATTTTTAAAAATAAAAATTTTAAACCCAATATATTAGACTATTTAAAAAGTAAAAAACAGATTAATTTCTATAAAAAATGGGGAAAATGGAAATACTTTTCTTTCCTTTATATAGATAACATCATTATCACCATAGCTTAACCCAACTATTTAGGTTTGCCTTTGTCTTAACGATTTTATGGTATATTACACCACCTGTCGACCTGTTGCAACCTTATTATGACTGAGGAAACCAATATGAAGGCATGGTGTTTGTCATTATTAAAATTCTCGTATGGTAGATTACCGGTAACTAATAGAAAATAGTAAAGATGAAAATTAGAGCTAAGACAGTAACTGAATGATCACTGTGCCACAACACTCCCTATATAGGAAACACACTAAAACAAATTATTAATTTCAATGTTTTTCAAAAAATAAATTAAATTAGAGTATCTTTTAATTTAGATAATGAAAGCTCACAATGTTAAAAAACTAGTGTTTTCATCTTCATCTACAGTTTATGGAGAACCGAAATTTTTACCAATTACTGAATCACATTCTGTAGGACAAAATTTGCTTAATGGGTATGCAAAATCTAAATATTATATTGAAGGGATTTTACAAGATTTATGTAATTCAGATAAAGTTAGTTTAGCAATTATAGTAGTACTTTGTTTTTATATTTTTGCTCAAATTATTTATTGTTTTATATTTGAATTTTAGGAATGGAATGTTATTATTTTAAGATATTTCAACCCTGTTGGAGCTCATCCATCAGGACAATTAGGTGAAGATCCTACTGGAATACCTAATAATCTAATGCCATTTGTTGCTCAAGTGGCTGTTGGTAATCGACCTTGTTTAAAAGTGTTTGGCAATGATTATGATACAATAGATGGAACTGGTGTAAGAGATTACTTGCATATCATGGATCTTGCTGATGGACATGTCAGCGCCGTTAAAAAAATAGAAACGAATAGTGTAAATGGAGCAGTAGCAATTAATTTAGGGACGGGAAATGGTTTTTCTGTATTACAGGTAGTATTATATATTACATATTTATATAGGTAATTATACATGTGTTCAGTAAGTAAGGAAACAGGTAAACAATGAGAACAATAGAAACCCGTTTCCTTACTTACTGAACCCCCTCCTATACATTATTGTGTATTGTTGAATTTTATAATTGGAAACAGTAGGCTAGTTATAGTGTAATAGCTAGGTATGCCACTATTTTTGCAAATATATTTTTTACATGATTAAATCAGGAAAAAATGATTTATATATAGGTGCAAAATACAGTCATGTCCAATAATATTTCGTGGAGTTATAAAAATAAAGAACTCTACAAAATTTTTTAATTGTAAATAATAAATTTTCTTCTGCGTTTTAATATAAAATAATATTTTTTTCTTATAAAAATATTTTAGAAGTGAACGTATTTGGTTATTGCACTAGTGCCTTTAATGTTGTTAAAACCATTTCTGTATTTATTTCAGGTAACGTTTTGATTATTTTGTGTTTATTTTAATTATATATTAAATGTTCAATAAAAGCATGTTTAATGTAATGTATATTCATGTTGATATTTAGGAAATTAAATTACGAATAATCTTAACGACTACTCTTTTATGATTTCTTTTGAAATAGTGAAGTTCTATACTAAACCAGTCACGAATTTTAATAGGAGACAATGTATACTAGAGCTCTGCATGGGCTGAACTAATCTACCCCAACCCAAAGTCGTATTGGATTTTGATTTGACTATGTTCTTTCTAGTGGTCAGATTATTAGGCTATTTCAAAAATAAGATTGGGTTGAAATTTCAGACCACTCATAAATTTTTTTGGATTAGATCTGAACTGAGTGTTTTAAAATTAGACTAGGTTGAACTTTTAAAAATTCTAATTATATCAGATCGACTTTGGATCATATGTAAAATGTTTCGAATATGATCGAATTAAAAAAACCCAGCACAGGGGGGTTGCGGCACAGTGGTGNGCACAGGGGGGTCGCGGCACAGTGGTGACGTGGCATAGTTGGATCAAGTATAATGATATCTGACAGTGATTAAAATCACTATAAAAAAAAACGCTTCGATGCAAATCTTTAAATAGTGTTTAATTTTAAAAATTGGTGGATTATTCCAAAAGCAACATGATCTGCTAGTTCGTTATTAATATCCTGATTCAGATAAAGTATATCAAATGAAAAAGGGATTATAAAAAAATATTATTTCTCATAAAATAATTGTGTTGATCCATACACTTTTCAATAAGTTATAGCATTATAAAGTTAAAAATGTAAAATACAAAATCGAAAAATTTCACACAAAAATAGCATTCGGTAGCCATTTTCACCGTGAATATAAAATAAAGTCCGAAATTTTTTTTTCCATGATAGAGTATATTACATTAGCTTCAATTTAAGATATATATAAAAGTGTCAGACTTTTCTGAAAATTTTCAAAAGTCAAGTTGAAAAAATTAATTTTTTTGAAAAAGTTGTCATTTTAAATCCCCCCCTGTGGGCAGGTAAAGGGTCAGATATAAAAAAAATATATACCAAATGAAAGGTAATTATATCATGCATCTTTATAAAATTATATTGATTTGGTTATTTTTAAAAAAGTTGTGGCAATTTTAAGTAAAAAAAATTGAAAAAACTTCGAAAATTAGCGATTTTTAAATTCGTAATTTTTTTGGATATTTCCCCNGTGAAAAAATTTCGAAAATTAGCGATTTTTAAATTTGTAATTTTTTTGGATATTTCCCCCATTTGCGGGGAACGAGGGAATTTTTTTCAATTTTTAAGGGTAATGTCTTCAACTAGATACGATTTGTGATCTTTTGACGTATCATTGAAAGAAATCGGTTCGGTGAGAGCTGAGAATAAGTGGTAACAGACACACAAAAAAAAAATAAACACATCTTAGTAAAACCAATACCTTCGAAGCTAAAAAATTGTAGAACAGAAAATTTAATTAAATCATATAAAAATAAAATAACAAAAGAAGAAATATATTATTTATTTTATAAATCCAGTCGGATCAAACTAATTTTCAGAATTTTATAGCGGATTGGAGTTATTTAAAATATATATGGGTTCCGATTGAATTAATTTTCATATTAGTATTATTTTCAAGTTGAATTGGTTTGGACATTGAAAAAAAAAAAAAATTAGGGTCCGGTTTATTTTTTGAATATTTGTTAATACTAACAAAAAGTTGTGCAAACTTTAGAACTGTCATCAAGTTTAAGATTTTTTGAAAATTTAATCTATTTAATGGATATATTCTATACATACTAAGTAATACTTACTTATACTAAATATAGTTGTTAGTATATTGTATACTTGGTAAGTATACTACCGAATATAATTAACTTATTTAATTTATTTATTTTATATCATTGAAACTTAAACTGCGAAAATAGTATTACAAAAATTGTACATTTGCCGTACTAGACATACACTATACAATATATAGATAGTTTTTATAGATTTATTCATGACGTCCATTTATCCTATGTAACAATGAAAACGTCAACTTTATCAATATTTTCCTATCAAAGTTACAAACATACACATACAGGTATAATTAAAGTATCTATTCATCGAGTTCCATGCTCATGACTATGACATTAAATAGACCGCTGTCTACTAAATATATTTTGGTAAAAATAAGCCACTACTATTAATTTATTTTATAGTAATTGATCAAAGTTTTAAATTGTTCAATACAACTTTTTGACTGAACAAAATATGGTATTTTGTAGATTTTTTTATTGTGCTCCCACAAAGATTTATGAAATTCTAGCTACTAATCGTTATAGCATAATTTTAAAATGTTATTATATTTAAATTAAATAATTGTTTTCAGGTTATTGAAACATTTAGTCAAGTAAGTGGTCGGAAAATTCCTTATGAAATTGTTGGACGTCGTCAAGGGGATTGTGCTTCTTCATACTGTGATGCATCATTAGCTAAATCGTTTTTAGGATGGGAAGCAAAGAAAACTCTTAAAGAGATGTGCGAAGATACTTGGAAATGGCAATCTATGTATCCTAAAGGATTCTCCACTGCAAAATAAATTTTGTTTACCAAATTTAAAATATTTTATAAAAATTTTAGATTTTGCATTAATCAAAAGAAGTGCTGTAATTTAGTTTGTTTATTGATGTTACACTATATTATATTGTTAATAATTTTGCATAATTTTATTATGTAATAATATTTAAACAATGGAACTATTGTCTTTTCCGTAAATGTGTTTAGATTTATTAGCTCGGCGTCTGTAGGATAATATTTCTGTGAGGCAAACATTTTTTTAAATTTGTGTGAAGGGTAATTTTTATTTGATGACCATTTTTTGACTTGTAGAGCCATCAAATTAATTTGTTTATTTAACCTTAAGCAAACATAAAAGCAATTAAAAAATAAACATTTGTAAATAGTCTATTTTCGAATGAGGATTGGGTTGGGAGGGTTTAATAGTATATAGAAGAGCTTTCAAATCTAATAAAAACAGTTTCTAGTGTTTTTGGGTACCTTTGTTCTTAAATATAATTCACTTATAATTAAGTTACATCTATTTTTTTGTCTACTATTTCAGTATTTCATCCATATTTTAGCTTAAACACGTATCTAAAAAACATCGATTTTTATTTGAAATTTTTATTGATAATATTTCAAACATTTCCCTAACTAACCTACATTAAATTAAATCTAGTACAATGTATTTTTAGATAAAAAAAAAAAACTATCCGGAATCCTGATGTTTTGAAACTATAAAGGGAATTAAGTAAAAAATCATACAAGTTATGGTAAAATTAGTTGATTTCGTAATATTTTACATAGTAACGGAGTACTTACTACTTTCTAAATTATATGAAATTAAAAATAATTTAATATAATATATATCATATTTAATATAATATATGATTTAAAGAAGAGTAACTTATCTTCTGCGATTAATCAAATACTACGATCAAAGAACAAGTCATTTTTGGTAATAAATTACAATTTTTAATATAATTATTAAATATTATTACTAAACTAGATGATGCTTCAAAATTATTTTACTGGTGTTTAGTAGAGACATAGCGAACCAGTTGTCCTAATATTGTGAATAACATAGCACAACGAAAATACAGACTTTTTATGTATTTTTTTATCATATTAGAATATAATGATGACCTAAAAGGTTAATAGCTATGGAAATACTATCTTCCTCGAATTCTAATATATAAATATTCATAGAAAAAATCAGAGAAATAGTTTTAAGAATTTAATCAAATGAGAAAGTGTTTAGTATTAATTTGAGAAACATTCAACTGTTAATCATTTAAAAATAACGTATAGTGAATCATTTCATAATATAAGTTAAATACAAAGCTGAATTTAAAAAATGTTAAATACCAAGTAAGTAAATGAAAAAAACATTTTTATGATATTAAATTTATCACACTATTCTATCACTAGGTCTCTCATACTTTAGATTTGATCAGTTTTTGATTTATATTTTTCTTATGCATCTTATAAAAGTTAAGTTTAGCTCATTTTATTTTAATAATTTCATTTTACGCTTATTTTATTATTATCACCAATTACACTTTGTCATTAATGTTTTCTTTATACAATTAATGTATCATAGCTAATTATAGTCCAAAATAAATTTTTATCAAGAATAAAAAACCTTTTTTAAAAATGTTAGTAACGTAAAAAGCCAAAAAAGGTTATCAAAACTAAATTATATATTTTGATAATTGAAAAAAAAGTAATTAATTAATTTTTCCGTGGAGTACTATTAAAGAGAAAGAGCGGATTTTGGTGTTACAATAGATTTTTTAGCTCTTTAATTGTGACTTTATAGACGAATTAATGTTTCAAATATTTTGTGAAAATATTGATCATATCTTATCGATATTAAAAACTTTTCCCTTTTTTTTGTTTTTGTGTGTTAATAGGAAAATTGATCAGACATTTTGTTTTTAATTTGTGATTAAGATATAAAGTGAGATACTTTTTATATTAAGTGTTTAGTAATGAGATAATACTTTTTTTATTTTATTTACTATTTTGAAATAACAAAACCTCTTTTGTCGCGGTTTGACTCATATCTCCATACAAGATAGTAATGGGTAAAAGTGTTTGGAACAAAATCTAAGTTTCTGTTAGCTTCATTTGATTATCCTCAGGATAGTCACTTGTCTCCTATATTATTCTTATTATTTGTAAATGGAATAAAAAACATTAATAAGAATTGTAAATTTTTGGGTTTTGTTTATGACATGGTTATTGTTTTTATAAAACAAAATCATAATTACTAATATAAATGTTTGAGGTTTATTTATAAAACAACGTTATCAAAAACACATTTAAACTCAAAACAATATTTTAAGTAACGAAAAATATCAATAAATAATAACTTGTATAAATACTTAAGGTATTAGAAAAAAGGATAAAAAAAATGAATAACGTTTTCCATTTTTGTTTTTTACATAATTATAATTTGTTTAAGTAAGTTTAAATCTACGACAGTTTAGTCGGCTTCGTTTGGCGTAGACACCAATACACACACAAAAAGAAACGAATTCTACTGTTAACGTTAATCACGCTTCTTTGGTACTTCTCAAATACACTTGTCGGAATTTAAACCTTTGGAGTCAGCACAACATTTTCAAGTTACAATATAGTCACAAATAGGGTAACCTACAGACATGTCAGCTTATTTTAGCCGCACACACAAAATAATAAAATAGTAATAATGAAATTTAATAAAATAATAATAAGTCTTTATAACGGTTATAAATAATTGTATTCTAAATATATAATGGTAACACACACAAAATAATAAAATAGTTATTAATACACAATTTCGATAACACCTGTGCATATATAAAAATTTACGACTTTTCTTACTGGCGACAGAGATGATAATGGTCAAATCATTAATCCCTCAAACACAATTTAGTCCCCTTTTTTATAGTATATGGTTCTTTATTCATTTATTTACATTATTTGCTAATTTTATTATTTTTACAATTTTTGTTGAAATCATAATAAAGTTTAAGGTTACACCAAAAAATATTAAGAACACTCAGGATTCATTATGGGAAAAATCATTTCATAGCCTTTAATACCACACAAAAGATTATTTCTTTTTAAATATTATGATGTATATAACCTCATTTACGCAATTTTTATACTTAAGCCCTTCTACCCGAGCACCACAGAAATAATCGTGTCTATTTATCTTATCACTTATCGTGTCACTTATCTATTTGAAAAATATGTGGGGGCAGAGCTCTTTATGGGTTAAAAATTTTAAAATGCGCCGTAAAAATGTTGTTAGCCATTAGCCTTCCCAAAAAAAAAAATACCTTAAGAAAAGGAAATAACTAAAATATTTATAAAAATAAAAAATTACTTTGATTCGTTAATTTTTCATAAAGTTATGACAGTTTGAAGTTAAAAAATGTAAAAATTATTGAAATTTGCTAATATTAAAAAAAATTTTTTTATTTAATTTAATTATTTTTTTGTAATTTTCTCTATTTATAGAAAACGAGGTAAAATTTTTCAATTTTTGAGGGTAATGTTTATATTTAGGTATGTTTTGTGAACTTGATGTATCATTGAAAAATACTAGTCTAGTTAAAGCTGAGAAAAAGTAGTGATAGGTACACTAAAAATAAATGCACCAAGATAAAATTTATACCTTCTCATCTTTGTATCGAAATTAAAATTTTTTTATTATTAGAAAGTAATAAAAAATGTTGATTCTATTAATTATTTTAGGAATTTTCTAGTTATATATGTTCAATTCTGTAAATATAAAAAAAAAAACTATTAAAATACTTGATTAAAAAACTATATGAACAGATATAAATTAGATTATCTATTTTACAATATTTCTACAATTCGAATAGTTGGATAGTTACTATGCGATATTTCCCATCACTGTCTTTTTTTCATCTATAAAGTAATTTCTTCGGAAAAGGTAAACCATCAAAATTTTGAAGGGGATCTCAATGTTAGAAATATATTTAAGACTTTAATATTATTCTTACTTATTAAAATTTGTTTAATTAGTTTGAACTTGAGACATGACTTATTATGCTGAACTTTATTTTTAATACGACTTATAAAAGCTAATAGTTTGTTCTGAATTGATTTTTCCTATCATTTTTGATACCTTATGTAACCTTTGATATTAATATTAAATTATTTTAATATTATGTAGTATGAGATTAGATATGAAATTTATTCACATACACACTTAAATAATTATAGTTAATATTACTATGAAACTACAATCATTTAAAACATTTTTTAAGGAGAATAAGACTGATTATGATTATAATCTATTTACTGCTGTGCAATTTATTCTTTGGATATACATAATTGATGAAAAAATGTCTATACACTATTTATGCAATACATTTTAACACATTATTTTTAAAATTCGTAGAAAACTTGATGGTAAAACTGTATTTATTACTGGAGGAAGTAGAGGCATCGGAAAAGCAATCGCATTAAAAGCTGCTAAAGATGGTGCAAATATAGTTATTGCTGCTAAAACGGCGGAGCCTCATCCTAAACTACCCGGTACCATTTATACAACGGCACAAGAAAGTAACTTATAAAATATATATATTTATTTTTTATGAAAAAATTAATTTTATAGTAAGATAGAAGTATATAAGAATTTTTTAAAAGCGGTTGATACAAATTGTCTTTTTACAAGTACCATAGTTATTTTCCTTTCATTTGACATACATATTTTGAAAATCTGATTCTTTACCTGCCCACAAAGGGATTTAAAATAACAAAAATTTACCAGAAAATTTAACTTTTCAATACTACGTCTTTTAAATGTATTTAAAATTAAAGCTTATGTTAGATGGGAAATAGTCCTATTCAAAACAAAATATGTCGTATGAAAGAGGTATATAAGTAGTATGTATCATGAAAAATTTTATTGATCCATATATTTTTCAAAAAGTTATAGAAATATAAATTTAAAAATAAAAAATCGAGAATTTTAGCATAAAAATAACTTAATTTTTAATATGGTAGATATTTTCATCATGCAGACAATATAAAGTTCGAATTTTATTTTTTCCTTATTAAAGTGTATTACATATACTTTAATTTAAGATATATATATATAAAAGTATCAGTATTTTCGGGACATTTTCAAAAATTAAATTGAAAAGTTAACTTTTCTGGTAAAGTTATCTTCTTAAATCCTTCTCTGTGGGCAGGTAAAGAGTCAGATTTTCAAAAAAAGTATATAAAATAATAGGTAAATACCTCACGTATCTATAAAAATAAGTTTGTTTTGAATCACACATTTTTGAAAAATTTATGGCAGTGTAATAATGTCGAAAATTATTGATTTTTAAAGTTGTATTTTTTGGGGAGTTTTCTCCCATTTACGATAACGAGGGAATTTTTTTCAATTTTTGAGGATAATGTCCTTCGACTAGATACGATTTGTGATCTTTGGACGTATTGTTCATTAAAATCGGTCCAATGAGTGTTGACAATAAGTGGTAACAGTCACACACAAAAAAAAGAAAACACATCATAGTAAAATTAATACCTTCTCAGATTTGCATCAAAGCTAAAAGAAAATTTGTCGGGCGGCTTATATTCTACGTACAAATGGCTGCCGTAGTTAAAAACATGCTATTTTACTCATTTAACTCATTTTCGTCAAAAATGCATTTTACTCTTTTCGGTACATTGCATTCAAAATAATATAATTTTTTCACATATGAAAAACAAAAATAACCAAAATACTTACACCAACGACAAAAACAAAAACAGCAACGTCAAAATGTACTAATATTTTATTGCTCAATATTTATTTTGTTATTTAAGAAATATTTTCTATGAATTAGTTGAAGCAGTAGGTGGGAAATGTCTTCCATGTGTAGTCGATGTTAGAGATGAATCACAAGTTCTTTGTGCAGTCGAGAAAGCTGTAACTTTATTTGGTGGTATAGACATAGTCATTAATAATGCGAGCGCAATTTCATTGACAACAACATTGCATACAGATATGAAAAGATATGATTTAATGAATAATGTAAATGCAAGAGGAACATATTTAGTGTAATTGATATTAATTTATTATTAGAATTTTAGTTTCTATCAGAGAATTTTTAATATATAAAATGTTTTCATTGTGATAGTTCAAAATCGTGTTTACCGTATTTGAAAAAAAGCAGCAACGCTCATATTCTTAATCTTAGCCCACCTATTAATTTAAATCCTGTTTGGTTCAAAGATCACTGTGCCTACACAATGTCAAAGTATGGAATGTCTATGTGCGTTTTAGGAATGTCTGAAGAATTTAAAAAGGATAAGATTTGCGTAAATGCGTTATGGCCCAGAACTGGTAATATTTATTGAAGTTTCTAAGTTAGAATAGATAAATAAATTTAATAATATAAAATTTTGAGATTTATTAATAAAAGTATTCTAGACATGCGATTAAAAATTCATAAGTATTATTAAGATCTTAAAGTAACTATAAAAAAACCTTATAGTAGATATTGGAGTCTGTAATTTTAAGGTTATATTCAAATACTAAATACATACTTGATAATCATTATTAATCGTTGAAATTCACTATAACATTAATACAAAATTATTTTAAACAAAAGTATAAAAAACTCTTCTTAGCAATTTACGATTATTTTATTTTTCTGACTTTTTTAGACAAAAATAGTGTTTTTTAAATCTAATTGGTTTTATTTATAAATAATTTTGTAACAAAACTTTTATCTCAGATGTCTTGTTAAAAACAAAGGCACTTTAGGCTCCTTTTAAATCTTTATCGATCAACATTTTATCTATATCACCCTTATTTTTTAATTTCATTTCCTTATTTTTTCCAAATAGATGCATTCTTCCCAATGTCCTACCCAGCTCTCTTGTATATTACACATCTCACTGTGGTCTCTTACAAGCAAGCTGTTTGAGCTCTAATCTTTTTAATATAATACATATGCAGTATAATTTCAACATTATCAAATTATAATTTTCAATCTTTATTCGATGCTGATGATAAGGTAAGCTTTTCAATTCACAAATCAACCATTAATACCATTTTGAATCTTAATAACTCTCTTTCTATCCTTTCAGAAATATTAAATTCTTCATTTTTTAAAACAGCTCTTGATAACAGATAATTAATGTTATTTAGTCGTTAAAAATAATACAATTTTTATCTCCAATCATTTTTGATAATCATGTTATTTTGGTCATTAATTCACTTGGTTTTTATTTATTGGATTCCTATTCATGTACATAGGTATTTTGGACAATGAAATATCAGACTTCCTTGCCATTTCCTCTTTTAATTTGTTATTACAATTAATTTTTTTTTTCCTTTATAAGACTTACTATGATANGTACATAGGTATTTTGGACAATGAAATATCAGACTTCCTTGCCATTTCCTCTTTTAATTTGTTATTACAATTAATTTTTTTTTCCTTTATAAGACTTACTATGATATTCCTCCATAAATACTTTATTGTAATGTTTTAGCTTAAATAAGTTTTCATTATAATTTCATTATATAATAATATTTTTAACAACTATCTTTTTTTTTTACATGAAGTATGGTTAATTATAGTTAGTTTATGAATACCTAGAATTCAAAATTAAACCCATTTGTATACTGTTCTATTTTTGCAATTTTACTAGCTTAAAATAATTGTAAAAATTTTTATTATTTTTCGCAATATAGTAAATACAATATTGTAGTACGAAAAATTAACTCATTTAAATTGTATTAAATCTTAAAATTTTATTACGTTGATTTTTAAATTTTTTAGCTAACGATCCGTCACATTAGTTTTATTAATACCATAAGCAAAACTATGAGAAATAAACTCGGCATGATTTTCAACCTTTTTTTAAAGACTAACTAATCTATTTTTTTATATAATAACTTTCACAATAAACCAAACAAGTAATTGATTATTCTAAAAGATCTTTACCTTGTCTTTTTTAATTTTTCAAAGAACCGACCTCTTAACAAAAACACAACCTAACTGGTATTCCAAAAAAAATAACAATCGATAGTTATTTTCTTTCAAGTCAATGTTCAAGGGAACATAAACAAGGCTTCTAAATAAAATACTTTTTAATAGTAATAGTTATAATATTAATACTTTAATATAACCATGGTTTTTTGATAAAACTAAATATTAGCTTCGATGCGAAGCGGAGAAGGTATTAATTTTACTATGATGTGTTTTTTTTTTT